CTGTGAGATACTGTATATATATATATATATATATATATATATATATATATGTGTGTGTGTGTGTGTACACACATATATATTTAAAGAAATCATTTTCTGAACAATAACAAAAAAGAAAAAAAAAGAACTTCCTGGACATCCCAATTGACATTGACAATTCATTGCCACTGTATAGAAATAATCAGCTAGAACGTTCTTCAAAACATCTCCCTATTTGTTCTCATGAAAATAGGGTTTGAGTTTGAATAAATGATGCCAAATCAATTACTGCATTATTATTATTATGAAGTGTGTGTGTGTGTCAGTAAGCAGCGCATTAATATAGAACGGTAACTGAAGGCTCTAATGCACACCAGTATAGATGTGTGTATTGTAGGAGCTAGACAACGTATGATGACGTGTTCCAAAAGGAAACACGATGCATTAAGAGCCGGGGGGTGAAAACTTTTGAACAGGATGAGGATGTCCAAATTTTTCCTGTTTTGTTGAAAACTTTTGAATGGGTTATTTTAATAATTTCAGCTATTTTTTTTTTCTTGTGGACTAAATGTCAACATCTCTTATGTAAAATATCTTACTTAGGACAGTACTAAATAAAAATAACATTCATTTTGTATGATTTCTCTTATTTTGTTAAAGTTATTCACATATTCAGCAAGGGGTTCCCAAAGCTTCGTATGCCACTGTATGTATGTATATATATATATATATATATTCAAAGAAATAATTTTATGAACAATAAATAAGAAAAAAAATTACTTCCTGGACATCCCAAACGCAAAGTTTTGTCAGGCCAATTTGTCTCATACATGCATGGTATTGCACAGTGATCTTGCAATGCCTGCAGATGGGTTGTATAAATAATGGAGGTGTTGAGAAGAGATAATGTTTGTTTATATGTGTGTGTACGTGCAGAAGGCCTCGTGAAGTTGCATCACTCAGTAACCTCTCCTCAGCTTCAGCACTGTCAATCATTCACAAACACAAAACGTGGGTGGCCAAACACACACTGTAAAATTGCTGAGTATGTTTAACAGGTCTTTGTTTGAGTAACTAACAACAGTGCTCATGTGCAGTGAGGACAAGTAAACTTCTTCAAGTATTTGTGTACAGAAGAGACAATCACAGCCTCTCTTCCTGCATTGCTATAATTCTCTCCTTCACAAAGCTGAGTTAAATAGGGATGTCCAAAACTACATATTTCCAAAATCAGTTAGACAGTGGTTTGTCCAAACGATTAGTCGCTCTTGAAGACGTCCTATATAATTATGTTGGCCACTCCACCAAACGTGTTTCTTTTGGGATATATGGTGATAAGAAAGCACAAACCTTCAGTACAGTGACTAACAGATATTTAACAAATAAATAGGCCAAATATCTATAAGTTTTTATTGCATAAAATTATGTCCAGTGCGCACAAAAAAAAAGGAGACCTACGATTTACAAATAATACCAAGTGTGTAAATCACAGCAGCTGATTTGAAGCCCAACAGTAAATAATCTAAAACTTTCCAAATTCATCTTCAAAGCACTGCTGCTAAAAAAAATTAAGCTAAAACTCCAGTTGTGGACCTCACTGACTAGTCATGTTCTCTAATAAACAAAATGTCATTGTGTCTCAATATTTATTTTTTTTATCAGATTTTGAGAGAGAGAAAAAAAATCTTGCAGATTTTTTTGAAAAACAAAATCTCAAATCTAAAGTTTATATTTATCTTCAATTAGTGTTTTATATTTTGCAAGAAATAAAATACTCTTGAAAATAAAAAGAACAATTAAAACTAAACTTATGCTTTATTTTGAATTGAACCGTTTTTTTATGAGAAAAAAATAATCGTGTAGATTTTTTGAAAAACAATCTAAAAGCTATATTTATCATGAATATCTAAAACCTAATTTTAAGACAACTCAAAATACACATCAAAAGGTTTATCTTATTTTAATGTTTGCAAATGATTTGATGAAACTAACTATTTTCTTATTTTGTGTTGCCTTAAATTTAGGTTTTAGAAAATATTTTTTGTAAAAGAAAGTAAAAAAAAATTAAATAAGTATAAAATCAAAATTATATGAATAAATATACATAAATGTTTGTCTTGTCTTTATTTGTTAGTTTGTCCTTAAAAAAAAAAAGCTAAACTTAAAACAATAAAAATTCTATCATGTCTTTTTCATTCTTCATTTGTTTATCATCTTTTGCTTTATAGTCTTAATGCCTTTATTTATTTTTCTTGATGTAAGGCTTGGTTTTGTTTTTTGATTGTTCTAAAACTTTATGTTTTTCCTTCAAGTGCAACCTGGAAAATCTACATACACTGTTTTTCTCACAAACTCCAAGTCATTTTAGCACATATGCACAGGAGTGCAGCAGAAGAGTGCTGTGGATCTTTAGCACAAAGCCTGACACCTCAGAGAAAGCAGCATTAATCTTTGATGAAGGTCACTCGGCCGCTCTCAGCTTGAGGCCGTCTTCAACCGGTGCCAGGAAAGAAAGGTCTCCATGTTGGGAAGTCTACTTGCAAGCGCACTCAATGTATTAAATAATAATCATAATGATACAGCATATCCTGCTTCCACAAACACATCATTGAGCCGCTTTAAATAATAAATAACAAAAGCCACACCAACAGCTGCACGACATATTTAACAGCCTCAAACTGCTGCTAGTGTGCACTTCATAACCTATTAATGAATCTCCTTCTCACTGTGAATAATCTACACCGGTGAACTGACTTCAGACATTTTAACCGTAGCGCTTGAACTTGACAAGTTAAATCCATGACAGTTCAAGGAACAGAGATCAGTGTCGTGAAGTTTACGTAAGAGCTACAAACTACACAAGTTTAAAATGTGTCTATATATATTTTTTCTGTGGGTCTTAAATAGTCTTAATCACCCTTTCCAGAAATTAAGGCCTTAAAAAGGTCTGAAATTCAAGTCTTAAATTCATAAAGTCATGGCATTAAGTGTTGCTTGCACTGCAAAAATAATTCTCTTCTTATTTTTGTCCTATTTTCCAAAACACATAATATCTAAACATCCTTAAATCAAGATATATTTACTTCAGAGGCAAAATGAAGATATTAAGATTTGTTTTCTTAGAAACTGAAAACTAAAGCTTAAAAAAAATGTGTTCATTGAAATAAATAAACTTTAACTGAAATAAAATGAAAACATAAAAAAATAACTTATTTCAGCTAGTCGCCAATATTGCTCATTTACATTTAGTTTAACTTGATGTACTAAAATGACAAACTTTAACTGAAATAAAAATTATTAAAAACTATATATACCTATTTAAAAAAGAAAACTAATAAAACGGACAAAAACACACACAACAAAATTATGTATATTTGAACTCAAATGAAAATGAAAACAGATAATATAAAAATAAAAACTAATTCAAAATATTAATGAAAACTAAAATCGAACCTCAATGATACTAAAATAACACTGGTTGGAAGTTGTATTTTTCAAACTTGTTGCTAATACAACTCAATGTATACATTGTTGTGTACAGTTTCATTTACAGAACATATTGATGTACTGTGTTTCCTTTAATTTATTATCTGCATTTTCTTTAATTGATCTTAAAAGGGCCACCCAAAAATGAAAATTCTGTCATAATTTACTCCCCTCATGTTGTTCCAAAAATGTATGAATTTTTTTCTTCTGTTGAATGCAAAAGAAGATACTTGGTAACCAGACAGCTGCTGGTAGCCATTGACTTCCATATTTTTTTTTCAACACTACCAGCAACTGTTTGGTTACCTACATTCTTCAAAACATCTTCTTTGCATTCAACAGAAAAAAAAAAATCCATACAGGTTTGGAACAACTTGATGGTCAGTAATTGCTGATAAAATTTACCTTCGTAAAATCTGCAGAAACCCTGATTTTTCTTCTATTATTTGGTTTCCCTCGTTTTTTTTGTTTTTTTTTAGGATTATCATGGCTTTAAACACCCATTGTAGAAGAAACAATGTGTGGGGTCTGTAATTCACTGAATCACTGAATGGCTGAGGTGGGCATGTGATGTTTAACCAGCATGGGCTGAATGGTCTAATGATTGTTTAGAAGCCAATAATAACAACAACAAACCCAAGAGTGAGACTCAGAGAATGAATGAAGGAATAAGTGATGGATGATGGTACCACTGTGGGAAAAAGTACAACTAAATGTCTACTCTTAAAAAAAATCATATGGATTTCTGCATGTTAAAAGCACCCAAAATGTGAGATGAGCTTAATCCAGGTGATAATTTAACACAATGGCATATCTTAAACAAATGCTAAGCTAATGGATGGGAAAGCGTGTGCAGACATATATTTCATTAAACCTGCCTTATTGGCAAAAACTTCCATCACATGCTTTTTATTGCTACTTTACTGCAGTTGTGCAACAGTTACAAGGTATTTTGGCCCAATTTCTTTATACAAATTATTTATTGCAGTTCAGACTTATTTTTGGGAAGCGTTTCTTGAGTTTTTTTTCTTTACTGCAGTTTCTCTGTGTTTTGAATTCTTTCTGATGTAACTTTCACTGGTAAATTTAAGTTTCTTGAATCTTCTTCAACTTTTATTTTTTATCTTCTGTTATCTTGAGGGGGAATGAAATTGGGACAAACCACAGAGCGGTTTCAGACCTGCACGGACCTGCACATCAGCAACACAGCTCCACTGCTGCGGAAGTTAGACAACAGTGGTTCTTTTTTCTCATCTAAAAAGTTTTTCTTCCTATTCATCAAAGAATCCTGATATTTCTTTCCACAAAAATATTAAGCATCACAACTGTTTTCCACATTGATAATAATAAGAAATGTTTCTTGATCACCAAATCAGGATCATGTGACACTGAAGACCGGCGTATTGATGCTGAAAATTCAGCTTCCCGATAAAATTAGAATAATATTTCACAATATTTACTGTATTTTTGACCAAATCAATGCATTGGTGAGCATAAGAGACTTCTTTCCAAAAACATCTTACCAATCCAAAACTTTTGAAAGGTAGTTTATATCTCAAAGCATCTTTCTAAGGTCCTCTGAAATAATTTTTTAACAAACCATAACGCACAACATATGGACTGGAGAGATTACAGACATTTAGATGTTCCCAAACATCACCATATAGCCATGATGTGAGACAGGAAGTCTCATTTATACTCCTCAGTTTTAGCCATAGACTGTATAAAAACATGGACATAGTGTCCTACCAGGCTGTAAACATATTTTTTTCTGCTGTAAAGTTGGGCATTTTAACATGGGGAGTCTATGGGATTGACTCCCTTTTGGAGCCAGCCTCTAGCGGCCAGTCGATGAATTGCAGTTTTAGTCACTTCTGTGTTGGTTTCACGAGAGAGACCGGAATGTTGCCGCTTGGTTTTAGCATGCGGCAACAGAAGGTAATGCCAAGCACATGCTCACGCTGAGACCTAAAGCCTGTTGGCTTAAACTGCTTAAAACACCTTGTCTGGCTAATTGGCTTTAAAAGCCCTCCAAGCCGTAACCCTGCTAAGGATCAGGTAATTGGCATCAGTTTGTGCCGTTACCTGCAGTATGAGGATGAAGAAGTCCACGGGTTTGCCGCGCAGGTAAAGGTAGTGGTGCGCCGATCTCTTATCACTCTCATTGAATTTGATCTCCTGGATCACATCAGGGTGTTTAAGGATACGCAGAAGGATTTTCTCTGAGATCTGAGACGGACTGAACAAATTAACCTCTGTGAAGACACAGGCAGAGACAGAAACAGACAAGTCGTTACAATTAAAGCACATTTGATATGCATATCATCTTTATTTTTGACAAACCGGTAGCACTTTACAATAAAATTAAATATGTTAGTTTGTTTAATTGGTTATATTAGTCAATGATAAGTTTGTTTGTTTGTTTGAACACAATGCCAGCATTCAAGCCTATTTTCATGGCAAAAAAACAGGCTAAATATAAAAACCATAAGATGTTTAATGTCCTAAGTTAAAGTTAATTTCTACATATACTAACGCATGTTTAACATTTCAAGTTGTACAATTAACGTGAGTTTATGTATTTTGAACATGAATTAACAAATAGCATTGACATTAGCATATTTAAAAATTAAACATTAACCTGATGTAATAAATGCTGTAAAAATGATGTTCATGAAGCATAATGCATTAACTAAAGCTGAACCTTATTTTAAAGTGGTGAAAGATTAAGAAAAACTGAAGTTTATGCAAATAAAAGGGTCAAAAAACAGGTTCAAAATTTGTCAATAGTGCTGGAATTTCTGATGGACTCTGATTTGTTTCATATTAAATACAGTTTGCATGCTTTCAATGGGTCTCTAGGCTGGGATCGGGTAAATGTAAGTGTATTAAACTGATATGCCTTCGTAAAGAGAATTTGCATTGATGACTTGATTGAAATGACACATTTGAAGCAGATTTTTTAGGACACTTTTGGTGTTTTGAGCAGCATTGAGTGAATATGTTCTGTTCAGTGGACACGTACCGATACAGTGAGTCTGTTTACCTGTTGCAAGGAAGCGGTGAGCGGCGAGCAGCAGCTGAGGAGAGATCTTGACTTTCGACTCGCTCTCATATTTGAAGGCAGAGAAGTCTCGCTTGTTCTTATTGTGTGCCACTTTCTTTCTGGTACGGTTATCAGCTGCAAAGAAATGCACAAAAGACTCATTCATAAGAAATTGCGATGTGCAGAACTGGAGCAAAACACAGAGGATTTTACATAAAAGTTTTCATTCCATCAAAATATTCACAATGGTAGTACCATGAAAACTCGAACATCGTGAACATGATGATAGTGCTTTTCTCAAAAAAATGCATGTGTCTGTGATTTCGCAAGCAGCGTGTTTGCGTGAAACCATGTGAAAAGATTTATGATGCAGGACAGCAAGAGGAAGTCAAAAGTGTGGATTCTGGAGAATTTTTTGCTGTACGAGTGCTGTGTGGATTTATTTAAAAGATGACAGCTGTAATGCTGTCTGCATTACAAGACACACAAACAACACAAAAGACACATTCCACTCACTGTAGAGGTCAGACTCGTCCAGGATTTCTGATTTGATGATCTCCTCTATGACATCTTCCAGAGTGACCAATCCCAGCACCTCATAGAACGGATCTCCCTCTCCCTCATTATTAACTTTCTGAACAATCGCCAAATGTGATTTACCTGCAGCAGAAGATAAAAGAATATTTGTGTTACTCTTTCAGTAAACAGCTGTTAATAATAATAATAACAACAACAATAATGCAGTCAAATAACATTCCTCAAAGACCTTTAGTATTAAAGCAGAAAATGAACTCATGAATAAGAACCCAGCAATAATGGTTTGGTAGACCTTTGCATAAAAATAATATTATATTCTAATATTACATAACTGAATATTTCATTATTAATTATATATTATATTATTAATAATAAATTTATAAATAACATTATTATTATTATTATTATTATTATTATTGTGCAATCAAAACTCTTTAGTATTAAACAGAAAATATATTCATAAATAAGAATCACGCAATAATGGTTTGGTAGATCGTTGCATAAAGATAATATTATATATAATTGTATATTTCACAATTTAATATAATAATGAATTATGAAGTGAAGTGACATGACATGTGGCCAAGTATGGTGGCATACTAGGAATTAGTGCTCTGCATTTATCCCATCCAAAGTGCACACACACAGCAGTGAACACACACACCGTGAACACACACCCGGAGCAGTGGGCAGCCATTTATGCTGCGGCGCCCGGGGAGCAGTTGGGGGTTCGGTGCCTTGCTCAAGGGCACCTCAGTCGTGGTATTGAAGGTGGGAGAGAGCGCTGTACATTCACTCCCCCCACCCGACTTATATTATCCATTATATTATATCATTAATACAATTTATTAATAATATCAATATATTTTTATATCTAATACTATACAATACAATATTTCCCATAATATTCTGATTTTCCCAAAAAGTCTAAACACTATGGTTTTGTGGCACCAATGGTATGAGTTTGGGGGCGGGGTTAAGAGTTTGCCTGACCAATGGCAGTGTTTGGAAAACCAATTTGAAAATACTCCTTGTTTTTGCAATTCCATTTGGTGACACTAATGTTGCAGAAATTACACATTTTAGTTCTACAAGAGCACAAAAGACAGAAAATAAAATTAGAAATTTACATTTGATTATCCAACTCACTTGCTAAAGCATAATTCTTTGAGTTTGCATTTATAATACATTTTAAATTTTGAACCGGAGATTGCAACTACAAACAGTGAGTTCAAAGCTAATGTTTAATAACTACGACCGAGAGAAATTAAGCAACTAACAGTGTGAGAGAAATACATACAGTCCCCAAACATTACAAAATGTACTATAGTGGTACTATGGTACAGTGATGAATATCATTGTACTGAATGATGAGCATTTACAACCATATATCAAGGTATGTACTGACCAAAGTAAATTTGCAACAAAAAAATAAGTAAAAGTGCTTGCATACACAGTGTATGTTTTTGCTCAATTTAGTGATTGTAAAGACAAAACAGTACTGCAGTGCTTACACACAAAGACTAGACTAAAACTAAAATTAAAACAGGCCGCCAAAAACAACACTAGTGCTTACTATATCTTGTTTCTTTATAAACAGTGTCAAGGACAAACGGTAAAAGCTAAGGGTTAACACAGTTTATAGGAAGGTATATTGTGGCCATGCAGCACACAAAGAGCCAGGAAATCCTAAAGCGTTTGCTCATCAAAACAAAAAGCCTCAATCCAGAGGTTACGTGTAGACATAACACCCTGCTGCACTGACATAAGGAGCCACAACAGTGCAAAACATAATTTAGCATCTTGAGTTACAAAATATTTCAACATAATTGTCTTGTCCAAAACCACTTCCTATTTTCTACCACAGACGTTTTGACTGCAATTGTTAGGACCGTTAAACAATCACTAGTGTTCACTGCAATGTGGCATGATACTAAAATTAATGCGACATGATATTTGTGTGGTATTTTAAGATACACTACCATACAAAAGTATGAGGTTGCTATGATATTATTTATGCATTAAATTGTTCAAAAGTGATAGTAAAGAAATTTATAATGTTACAAAAGACTTCAATTTCAAATAAATGCTGTTGTTTTGAACTTTCTATTCATCCAAGAATCCTGAAAAAGACACTTTCCACATTTTTCAGCATAACCATTATCAACTAATAATAATAATAATAATAAAAATAAAATGTTTCTTCAGCACTTAATCATATTAGAATGATTTTAAGGACCACGTAAGTTCTGAGGACTGGAATAATGACTGCTGAAAATTCAGCTGTACCATTCCAAAAATACACAAATTAAAAATAAATTATTTAAAATTATGTTAACAAGTTATTTTAAATTCTAATATTACATCACAATACTGTTTTACTTTATTTTTGGATCAAATAAATGCAGCCTTGGCGAACAATTACACTGAACAAAATTATAAACGCAACACTTTTGCCAATTGCACGCTCCCTCAAAACTTGCAACATCTGTGGCATTGTGCTGTGTGATAAAACTGCACATTTTAGAGTGGCCTTTTATTGTGGCCAGCCTAAGGCCCACCTGTGCAATAATCATGCTGTCTAATCAGCATCTTGATACCACACCTGTGAGGTGGATGGATTATCTCAGCAAAGGAGAAGTGCTCACTAACACAGATTTATACAGATTTGTGAACAATATTTGAGAGAAATAGGCCTTTTGTGTACATAGAAAAAGTCTTAGATCTTTGAGTTCAGCTCATGAAAAATGGGGGCAAAAACAAAAGTGTTGCGTTTATAATTTTGTTCAGTGTATTTAAAAAAACTTAAACGTTCTAAGCGTGTGTAGGGATATAACGATTCACTCAACTTTACTGATTTCACAATATGATTCTCACAATTTTTTGAACAAAAGACTTAATAATAAATGAAAAGGTGTCCTTTTATTATTTCTCAGACAAAATGCTTCACATTTCTTTGAGAAATTGAAATAGGCCTATGTCAAATAACAAAACTAAACGAATAATAAATAAATATATAAATACAAATGAAAGAAATCTCTCTTAAATCTCAAACTAAGGCTTTGTCTGTGATCTTCCATTTTAAATTAGAAGTAACCACTGCATTTTAATCCCAATCCAAACAAAGATGCCGCAGCAGATACATGCAGCATGAGCAGTTTTTTTTATTTTAAAGTAGATTGTATAATTTTGAAATTTGAAGCAAAAACAGAATGGTCTGACTTCCATTTTGTTAAATTATGTTGCATAAAACATCTGCACAAAACAAAAACAGCAGGCGGGCTGCAAGAGAACGCAAATTCACTTTCTGACAGTAGGTGGCACTTATGGAACAGCAGCGAAACAGCGTTTCCTGTACAAAATATGTTCTATTTGACAAAATTACTTTTTTTAAAGAGTCAAACATAACAAGAACAAAGAAAATGTAGCCTACTTCCAATAATAATATGGTAAAAGTCCAAAAAACAATGGACCACATCTAAACAAAACATGGTAATACCATGGTACTTTTCACTTAGTGGACAGAGAATTAAGAGTTAAAACTCGCCTGCTTATCTCTCATCCCCGTGTTTGTAATGTGACAGGATGTAGCTTATAAAGCCTGTGCGGCGCATGTAGACTAAACAGCCTGTACTCGAGTGACGCAGAAGATTCTCTAGAGCAAGTGTCTTTGCTTGAGAAAAGCGTACAGTTAGTTCAGGACGTTTTTGGAACACAGATCTCTGACAGCAGATGTCTCAGCGGGCCTGCATTATGCTGCAGAGGAACACATGAGCCAAATATCACGATGCCAACAAGAGAAACTACTTCATGTATCTACTGCCAAAACTACAGCACACAACACAACCATAACAAAAAATACAATATTTTTAACCATTACCAGTAAACTGAAAACAGGTTAAAGGAATAGTTCACCCAAAAATGAAAATTTGCTGAAGATGTACTCACCCTCAGGCCATCCAAGATGTAAAATGAGTTTGTTTTGGAGAAATTTAGCTCTACATCACTTGCTCACCAAGGGATCCTCTGCAGTGAATGGGTGCCGTCAGAATGGGAGTCCAAACAGCTGATAAAAACATCACAATAATCCACAAGTAATCCACACAACTCTAGTCCATCAATTGATGTCTTGTGAAGTGAAAAGCTGTGAGTTTGTAAAAAAACGAATCCATCATTAAAGGGACAGTTCACTCAAAAATTAAAATTTTGTAATCATTTACTCATCCCTCAAGCTGTACCAAACCTCTATGAATTTCTTTCTTCTGTTGAACACAAAAGATGATATTCTGAAGAATGTTCAAATAGTTAGTCGTAGCCATTGACTTATATTGATTTATAGTAATTTTTCCACACTATGGAAGTCAATGGCTACCAGCAACTGTTTGGTTACCAACATTCTTTAAAATATTTTCTTGTGTGTTCAACAGAATAATGAAACACATACAGGTTTGGAACAACTTGAAGGTGAGTAAATGACAGAATTTTCATTTTTGGGTGAACTAACCTAAGGTGTTTTAAAGGGGTCATATGATGCGATTTCAAGTTTTCCTTTCTCTTTGGAGTGTTACAAGCTGTTCGTGAATAGATAAGATC